GCCCAGTGTAGCACCAAATTTGAAGTTGGCTTTAATTTCAAAGTCAGATAAATTGCCAAGGGCCTTGTCCAGCTGAGCTTTAAGTATCTCCAAAAATGGAGATTTCATAATCTGTCTGAGCCACTTGCTTCATTGCTAATTATCATCACTGATAAAAACGCTGAAATACTTCCCTTATGTTGTTATAATATATCTTGATATCTACTGATCATAAAACAGATGAAGAGCAATATACCAGTTCTCTGCTGAAATCATATTTTCAAAATACACTTAATACACTTAGCAATGAAACTGAGTGTACAAAATTACTAGTTTGAAAGAGATGGGTTAAACACATGTCTGTTAAACATACATTATGAAAGGGAATGATTTGCATTAATGTGATGTTTGTAATCGCATTTGGTGATCTGGCAGGTATTTCTAGACTTGTATTTGCTGAAAGACCTTTAAGGTTCATCAGAATATTTGTTTAGTCATATTCTCCAAGTTGTTCCAAACGGATTTCAAAGTCCTTTTTCTAAATTGCTGGCATGTCAGCCTCTCATTGTAGTGAATTCATCAAGCTAATTATTCAATGACATTGCTCTCCGCTTCATGGTTCCTAAAACTATGCCTTCAGTGTTATCAAGGGTCAGTTTATATCCTATACCCATGTTACAAAAAAAATAATAATAATAAAATAAAGTGGAAGGCAATGTACTTTCTTGCATGCCCACCTCACACTCTCAGACAATAGACCTTTTTCTTTTTAGTGTCAAAGTAATTTCCTGCTGAAGAAATGTTCCTACTGTTTGTTTTTATTTCAATAGGTGAACAGCATCATATGAGCCTTTCACAGGATAAATGGGTTGGCCAGGCAATTTTGGCTTCTTGTGGGATCACGCTCTCCATTCAAATATACAGCTCAATTATATGACTTCCATACTGAGAAAGTGCATTAACTTTTAAAATGCACAGCAGTAGCCTGGTCTTAATAAAAATGTTTAAAACCCACTCTCAAACCAGAACTCCAAGCTGCAGCTGAATATGAAACATCCACTTATAGCCAATTACACAATTTCTGTCATGCTTTGGAAGACGTGTATATACACTAGGGATATTAAAAGCCAACCCCTACCCCCCACCCCCCTCCCCCGCCCCCCGAACTCTAGGTGAAATAGGGAAAGGCTTAAAACCTTTCAAGATATGCTTAGACAGAAAGGCACTGAGCCTTGTAACTTAACAGCAGGCATCTGTTTCAAGCATGTACAGCACACCTTTGGCCTTAAGTATTATAGAATCTCTTGGAAGAACTGCTGCAGTCCAAAACTTGCCATTCTAGGAACAAGACAATCTATTAAAATTCATTCTCAAGAGTTTCTCTGTAGAGAGACTGTATCAGAGGAGTATATTTGGGACAAAAAAAATGCCACTTCCAGCATCAGAATGCTTATAATCTCTTCTACCTCTAGTGATCAAACAGGTCTTAGAAAAATCTGAAAGTATGCATAAATATTTAGTGAAGACAGAGAAAGAGAGAAACTCTCTTAAATCTTTATTTTACAGATAGTTGTGCTTGAACTGTAGCAACAACTTTCAGTTTAAGTAGTTGCACAGCTGGGATGCAGGCAATTTTTCTCGAGACTAATATTAATGCCTATATTCGAGGCCATTCAACATAATTCCTTATTTATTATGGCATGTTCCATGAAACACTTATTCACAGTGTGCAGCTCTTCCTACTTGGGAAATGAAGGTTTCCAGTGGAGAGCTGTTCCCATTTAACACGCTCCCATCTCACAGCTGGACTCCGAGCTACTTTTGTAGTCCAGAGAATAATGGGTTATAGTCAAGTTCTCAAACAGAGAATACTAAACCAATAGGGAAAGATGATGTTCTCTTTCTCTGTGCATCTGTGTTCATATGTAATCCTAATTAGTATGTTAATTGGCCACTGCAGGAAAAAAATAAAAAAAGGTAAAAAAAAAAAAAAAGTAGATTTAAGTAGTTTAAACATCAGTGTTATTTATTATTTGGGTCAGAATGTCTCCTAGGTCTGCAGTTATAAGCCAGGACAGTCAGAAATCATGTAACAAAATTCAAAATTCATCTTGCTACAGAGATTTCTTGTTATTAGTCCTCAAAGGGCATTTACCTTAAGTGTAGCCCATCTAGATCTATAACTTACCTCCAGTCCTAAGTCTTCCCCTCTGTTTTTGTATGGAGGTTTTCAGTGTCTTACCAGCTTTTGGAGATGAGTGAAAAGGGAAGAAATGCTGTCTCAAAGTCTAGTATTCTCCTCTCACCAGAAAACTACAGTGGGGCAGTAAATTTGATTATGAAATAATCCTCCTGTAAGGCAAATCCATGCTCCAGGAGAGATTACTCCCAACTAATGGAAATTTAAATACCATTAGGTCTCACTTGAAAATATTCTTTATACACAGACGACTAAGATAATGGAAACCAAAAGTGTTGGTTGGAAGATAGGTGGCCTACTAGAGTGCATTAGTATCAGACATCTATCCCCCTATCTTCCCACATTTTTCTGTTCCATTAAATTATAAAAAGCCAATGACCTGCTTGAGAAATAAAGTATCAACCAGATGTTTCCTGAGCAAAGACAACTTGTGTTTCCCTTTACGCATCATCTTCTGAGAGGCAGAACTACAGCGACTGCACATCTGACATCATTCACTGTGTTGACTTTGGGTTACTCAGAATCTTTCCTTTACTTAACCTTCCAACTCAAATACAATAGTTTTATAGAGAGATCACCTGGAAAGAATGGATTTGAATGACTAGAACACAACGTAGAAGAATGGTTTATATGCATTTTGCTACAACAAAGCCATTTGCTGTCACAGGCATGAAATAATGACTAGAGGGGAGAAGGGCTGTCAGTTTTCTCATACAGATTTTGGCAGGACAAAGTGCTGCAAATTGCCCAGTATCAGTCCTCATGGAAACAGGAGGTGGGTGAGCAGTAATGTCAAAAACAAAAGACTTAGTTCTGTGAACAACATGCAAAAATAGGATTTTAGAATACCTGGTAACTTTAAAATAAAATTTATATATCAGAATATATCCAAAGCTCATTATGATTTATAGAAAGTCAGATCATCAAGCTTTGGATCAGATACCTGTAATAATGACAGAAACTACAGCAGTTTCCCAGTTCTACTTCACTATAAGGAAAACCTTACAGTGAACAGTACGTACTGTTCTGTTAATGAGGGAGGGATATTTAAAATAAGAGGCTCAGTCATCACCTGGTGGAAATTCCTCTTTTTTTTTTTTCAAATGATCCTATAACTCACAATATATCATCCTACAAGCTCAAACTCAGAGCTCCATTTGTAGGCCAGCTGGTGGCAACAGAAAGCTAACTTTCAGGTGCTACATGAACAAGCAGCATGGGACAGGGCTGGCATTTTTTGAATTCTGTGCGCAGTGCTTATAATGTACCATGCCTTACGACTTTCACAGCAGGTACATTTCTGTTCAAGCTATCCAGAAAAGTTCACTGATGCAGGTATAATTTATACATTATTAATATATTCAATCAGTCCTGAATAAGGCTCTAAAATGCTGTATGAATAAGTCTTCTGCATCCGAAAATTTAACAATACAAACACTTTTTTTCTGGGCCATAATCTCCCACTTAAACAAGAAGCCACACCACACAAAGCTGCAACAGCTTTTTCTTCACTAGCAATAAAAGATAGGTGTAGTAACTCATACTTAAATAAATAGAATGAAGTGTCACTGCATATTTATGTCACTATGAAAGCCAATGGGGACCTAAATTTAACAGATTTGATGTTGCATTCATCTCTCTTCACTGATTAGATGCTGTGAATAAAGGAAAAGCTGTTTTCAGTAGCTACTGTTTAATCAAATATGAATTTTAATTTGGAAAGTTGCATACAGCACAAGAAACTGCCTGTGCAATGGCTTCTAATAAGGGTACGTGAGCAAATGCCATGTGTTCTGCACTCTCACTGTGAGGTCTGTAGGAAATCAAGTTTTCAGCAAGATTGACAATGGGACCATTCAGCTTCTTGAACACTCAGTCTTAATGCTTCAGCCTACTGCAGACAAATGCGTACTATGTCTTGATGACAAGTGACTATAAGAATGACAAGGAGGCAATCATGAACTTATGAATACAAAATACTTCCACTTTATCCTGCTTTCATTAAAGGCTAAACAAAATTATGGAATAGCTGAAGAAAAAATAAGAAAATTAACTCATCTGTACATGATTCATCTCTGTGCACGTACTCAGTTCACTAGGTAAATGTCCTTGTAAATCTTGGAACTCTGTTTTAAGGTAGATTTACATTGCAGATAGGTTTGATATTACTGTGGTACAGAGGTAGTTAATCTCACAAGCAATCAGAAACCCATTACTTTCCATGCTTCATCTATGAGGATCCACACTCAGCTAGTCCCCTTTTCAAATTCCATTATCTTCAAGTCTGGAACAGTTTGGTTTGCTCTTCTGTCTTACATAACTTGTATCCCAGTCCTGTTGTTCTAAAGCAACACCAGTATGCTTGTGATTGCTTATGCCAGTTGAATTCTTACATACTTAACAGCACTAAAAATGATTTCTGAAGCTCAGGGTAATTTTTGCAAATACTGCCCCAAAAAAAAGAAATTTGAGAATTTATATGCTCAAGTAAAACACCATCATATTTTTGACATGATGAATATGATTAATTTTTGGTATACAAATAGAAAGGTGGGTCCAGCTCCAGTAAGTGCGTATGTACAAAAATTATGGAAAGTTACAGAGTATTATGCATGAGTACTATTCTCTGTTGGTGTTTGTTCTCTGACTAAAAGACACTTGAAAAAAACACCTAAGCCGATGAGGAGCTTGCTGCCAGAACACATGGAATCCTGCTTAGTTCTCATGAATCAAAAAGGCTTTAGAAATGAAACAGCACATGAAATCAGCCTGTCATTTCTGACCTGCATAGTCTTAAACACGAGAGACTTAACAAAAGGACTTCACAAATAGAGTAATGATTTATTGGAAACATTCACATGAGGTATAAAGGCAATCACTTCAACCATTTTATTTTTTTAACAATATAAAGCTACTCCTTTACAAGATCTGTTCAGAAACAGGAGCAGATTTAGTAAAGATGCAGAATATTTTACATCCCTGAGACTGAGGCCCTCTCACCCTTGATGCACTCTACCCTCCCCCTGCAAAGGTGCTGTAAATTTAATTTCCTGCTCAGTTGTGATTTTAGTGGATTACCATCCAAAATTAACATTTTCATTCTTTACATCAACATGAAATTTAAAAATGCAAGCAATCCCACGTTTCGTATCTAGTTCATTCACAAGCAGGGAAACAAGTATGTCTAAATCAGTTGCAGGCATCCAGTTTAAAATTACTTCCAGTTTAGAGCTGGTGTCCAAAGTTCTTTCCAAGCAGTCAGTAAAGTTACTGACTCTGAAGATGTAATGTGTTCCCCTTAAATTAACCATGGAAGCCAACTCCTCCTTTTTTACTAGCTAGACACAGCTAATGCTCCATACTTTTCATATCGGGGTACTGGGATGTGAATGCAAGGCTTTAGGTACATGTGCTTTTATATCTGGACTTAAAGCCATCACAAGGAAGCTGAGTGACAAAATTCCAGTTCCTACTGCAGACTTCAAGTAATTCATCTATGAACACTATTGTTTTTAGGTTAATGGCAGGCAGACAACATTAAGAATGATAAATTCAGGTAGCAGAAGTGTTTCCTCTCAAGCAATGTAAGTTCCATTATTCAATTTCAGTACGAAGATACCCTGCAAGGCCACAAAAACAGATCTGGGCGTAACACATGCAGAAAATTTTCAGTACAGGTTCAGATATTTTTCCTAGCAAAAATGATCATCTCTTGCCTGAGGATGTAATTTTAATCAATAAAACTCCTCTAGCTGAGCTATGGCAATCAGCATAAGCAAAGCAAGGAGGACATGAAAAAATTTAAGTACTAATACTAAAAAAAATAAGTACTTAATACTATGAAGAGGAGGCAGCTGATGTTATATTAACTTGGTGGAAGGTAGCTCTTCACTTGGAGATGGAAACAAAGCTCTAACAAGATTCAAGGCATAAACTGACAAAAATAAAATGATTTCCAGTGTTAGAGGTAGATTTTATCCAGTGTATAATAGCTATTCCTGTAAGTGCAGAACTTTAGAAATTAAATAATTCAGATCAAATGTGACCTATGTTCTCTTAGAATAATTACAGCAAGCTTTCTGCATATCCTTCAAGAAAGCAGGCACGCCACTCTGTAAAGAGAAAAGCAGTAAGTCACTCTTGTACAATGTAATCAAAAAGAACTATAGCAAGATGCATATTCACACTATATAGATCAAGGCCTTCAAATACAGGACAATTTAACATCTGGTACAAGCAGACCATTCTTTTAATACTACATGACCAGACTGCATTATCGAAGTGTTAAGGCTATTCACATACACTCTGGAACATTGATTTGTTGTTTTTCTTGCACAGATTTAGCTACCCCATTGACTAAGCCAAGGAATTTGATAGAAATCAAAAAATATTAAGACAATTGCTATGAAGAGAGCAAGCAACACTGAGTCTCTAAAAATGTCACTGTGTAAGACCTAGGAGGATGAATACATCCATTTAAAAAAAATTAATAATTTTACCCCAATATACAGAAGACAGGTTTGGATACAGTGAATATATTTTTTTGAAACAGACAAAGACAATTGCCCTGTCAACCTTTACTTACCTTGGCAGCCCAATTGACCAGCCATGATGGAATCATGCCACCAGGATTATCGAAATAGTACATATAGACTGGAGATGAGAAAGAAGTTACCAGAAAGTTATGCAGACATAGCTTAGGTATTAGCTCTAATACCATATGACAGAAACTATCAAGACACATGACTGAAGCACTAAGTACAAGAGTTCTGCTCCAAGTCCTTTACAAAAAAAGGAGTCAAACTTGTATTGAATTGGAATTTGAGATAAATATAACCATTCCTAGTTAACCTCTGAGGGGTTCAAAGAATAATACTAATTTATGCTATTCCAAACCAGTTTAAGCAGCCTTTATAAAGTAAATATGTCTTTAAAGGACAAGTGAGTCAGAAGTCACTCTCTAGGCAAAGCCTATCATCTATAAACCTGTCAAACATGGTACTTAAATCATTGATGAATTAAGCGCTTTCCAACTCTACCCAATTGAACTGACTGGCAGGAAGACAGGTGTGTGTGTGTTTGGTAGCGAAGCAATCAGTACTCTGTTCTTATTTACCAAGCCCAACCATTTAAAATCTTTATGGTAAAACACTGTGCTGGATTTTTCCAAGTTTCATTTTTCAATACTCCTAGAGCTCACTATATCCACTTTACATAGTAACTGTTTTAGTTTAAAATCTCCAGTCTCCCTCTTCGTGCATTTTGCTAACGCACACATTCTTTGGCTACATGACTTGTGATCTATTTTTTTGACTTCTTACCTTTAGATCCAGTCTTGCCATCACTTTCAATTGCCAGACTTTGTTTATAACTTTTAACTCTGATAATACCAGGCTTTTCAGGGCACTGAGGAACAGACACACTTTGAGCTAACACAACCCAGATCTTCCGCCCATCAAAATCCATCTCTTGACATTCACGAATATAGACATACTGTGTTCTGAGTTGAGGAGGCATGTCAAAACAGCGTCAGTTTGACATATGATGAATTGACAAGTGAATTCCGTTATGAATAGCAGCCCCTTCAAGTTATTTCTTATGCTTACGCAGGATTCAGTCTTGCAGAGTGATAATTCAGCTGTGCAAGCTTTAGTTGCCTGTGGGAAGAAGCACCCACACTCTTCCTCCAGCTATACATACTGATATAACACGAGGACTGTGAGATGCTAGATCAAGTTCAGGAAAGCTGTACAGTCAGCACTCCATCAGGATCCCTGGATGACCAGGTGACAAAAAATACAATGAAAGCAAAAAGCATTAAAGGATACATCTCTGTTTGAGAGAGGAAAAGGGTACTTCACTTCCCAGTAGATTACTTTTTCACCATTGTAAGTTTTCTCATACAGTTCTACAGTTGAAAAAGGAAGATTGTTAGATATTTTTAATTTCCACCACAACACAAGCATATACGGCATTAAGGACTGCTCAGACTTCAGACATGAACCCATTCTGCATGCAACCCTTACATCAAAATTGATATGCATGTAAAGTTGTAGCAGTAGATGATTTAAAAAAAATAAGTCTGTAACACGACTGCTCAGGAACCAAACACACAAAAACAGGTGGCCCATTTTTTTCTGCTGCTACTCAGTTCATTGATGCAAAAAGAAAAAATGAACAGAGTAAATCTGGGAGGAGGCATAGTCAAATTTCTTTTTAGACAGTTAGCTCAGTCCAAGCCTTTCCATCTCAAAGCCTTCTCCTCACCTATGCATATTCTGCATTATTCTGAATGGCAAGGCGAACATTCTTCTTCACAAGCACATCATTATCCTTGTAAACGATTCTGAGTTACTATGGAACCAGGACAAGTACTGCTTTCTAATACCTTAAGAGGTCTTACATGACAGATTAATGAAATTTGGAAAACCTATTCAGAAGTTCACAGCAGTATATAAAAGCAGCAGTGAACATGAAGCTTGAACAGTTTATGAGCCTCCGTTACACCACCTCCAGTCTGCTTGAAAACTCAATCAAAAGGCAGCTGAATGGGGGGGAAAATAGCTAAGAAAAATCCCTAAAACATGACAGTGACTTAGGCAGGAGTAGCATGGCATAAAGGAGGGAATATAGTTCAAATCAAACTACAAACCTGAGTTTTAAGAACTGTCTACTGTGTAGCACCATCTTTTCAGGCAGTAACTGCCATTGTCAGGGTAAGGATCTGACAGGCGTCAGACCTGAGCTGGGGTAAGATCTTGCCTGTCCAGGGACTTGTCATTTCATGCGTTCAGCTATAAAGACTCATCCAGACTGGGTGGTTCACATCAGCAGGCAGAGTACTTTTCTCCTCCATTTGGGCAGACTTCTGTCTGAGGTACTACAGATCCTTCAGAGCTAATGCAAGCCTGCCAGATCACTTTCTGTGGTTTTGAAAGTAAGGCTAGAACAGACAGATACCTTCATCACTAAGTCAAGAAGTGTGCCACAAGTGGAAGATTATTTCCCTATATGACATGCTCCCAACTGGGCTTCTGTTAGTATGCCCTTCCAGTCAGTTGTCACCCACAAAAACAGCTCCTCCTCTTCTCCAAAGTGGAGCAGTATCAGATGCACAATGCTCCCAGTGCTGTAATAAGCTACAGCATTACGCTTGCCACCAGAGGTCACTGGAGTATTGGTTTATTAGCTTTACTTTCATTTCTAACTATAGAGCTTTCCTTTTTCAAAGAAATTAAGACATTGATTTAAAGACCTTGATGGAATTGTTAGCAACTAACTCACCTACCTACAACATATCACCAGACTGATTTCTTCATAATAGGCACATCAGCATTTGCTACTTCGGCAGTCAATTACTACCATTAAATTTCTGGGTAGTACGATCTCTGTCAGGACAGTGTTCCAATTACGAGCTGCAAGTTTCAGTATTGCTCAGGCCCAACTGTCTCGTATCATAGCACAGGAGCATGTGGTACTTCAGTCACTACTGTTTAGTCACAGCTTCTCTGATAAATTGGCAGCTGCAGCACAGGCCAAGCCCCCAGGCCTCAAGATATCCCCATCACAGCTGCGAGGTGCTGCTCTCATGGATATCCAGGAGCCTGCTTTGGAAGCAGCCGGGGTGCTAACAGCAATGCAACAGCAGTAACAGACTGACGGTGACATTTCAGAGGTCAAGGGCAAATCCTTGGCAAGAAGAGATCAAAGCATGAGCCTCTAGAGTACTCACGGGAATCCTGTTCATATCTGCCTCCAGTCAGGCCTTCATATAAAGTTTTGCTGAACAGAACCAGAGGATAGAGATTAGCTCCTCTCACAATTAGTGCAGGAGCAGTTACCTTTTCAACTAAAAAGTCAGCTACTGCTACTCTGGTCTCGTTTTTATTTCAATGCCAGCCAGCAGTTCAGCAGAGAACTCCTCCTTGGACTGCCATTACTGTCAAGCTGCAAGAGCAACAAGGAACACAAGTAGTAAAACAAAGAGCAAGAAGGCTCTGAGTGGAAGCTTTCACATTTTTCTCCCTATGTGTGAAGGTAGAAAAAACAACTTACATAATTTACATAAAAAAACGTTTGCTAGCATTATTTCATTGTAAGTACACTTCTACAGAATGGATAGGCTTGTGTTAAATTTTAAGCTAAAAGGAAAGTCTTAATATTATGTTTATGCCCTTAAAGAGTAAACTTCTGTGAAACACTGTACTTGAAATACAGGCACAAGTATGAACTTGCAGACGAACACATCATGGTCAGCAAGGATAAAAACTCCAGCTTCGCAACATTATCTAGTTTTTGTCTAAGGGTGTAGCTTCCCCCGACTGCTTCCTTTCTTTTCTCAAAGAAAGCGTTACAAAAACTGCCTTATTTAAAAAAGGGCTTGGTTCCCCTAAATGAACTTAAATCAAAGACTACTGAAGTAACTTAAACTAACACGAGGTGTTTGGCATCCAATATGATAATATTTGTGTATTTAGATTCCACCTCAATCTCTTTTTATTTCATTAGTGGAAAAGCAGCCTTTGCTACAGGAAAGCTATTGTCCATTTAGACAGATAACACCTTTACTAAGTTAGACACAGCTTCTGAATTACGACCAAGTATTGATGTGAACCAAATAAGTGGTTCTCTATAAAAACGCAGCCAAGCAATCATTCACAATAGAGCTGTCCTCAATGAAACAAGCACAACATTTAACAATTCTTTGGTTTTGTAACACTGTTCTTTGTTCAGCAAGACATGTGTTTCAGTTTTATTGGCCTGAACTTATTTAAGACACAGACTTAAAATGGGATGTCTCCCCATCTTTAAATAAATGGATTGTGGGAGACCTGCATCAGTTAAATCCTTGCCTTTGTCCCTGATGATTTAAGATGTTTTAACATCATCTGGATATCCAGGTCAAACCCCCCTTTTTCAAAGGCAACGTTAAACATACAGATCTAAATTAGCTATTCCTTTCTCTGTAAAAGCCCCAAATCACTAACTCTTCTCAGGATTCAAACATTTCTGATTGTACAAGGTGCCAAGAACAACCACTTTCAGGGAAAACAAATTACACATCAAACTGGTGTAACCCACTGCACTCTTCCAGCCCCTGCTACAATATGCAAAGATGCACAGAAGGTACAGAACACCTATTAAAGTTTAACTAAGCAATTAACAACAGTATTTGAAGATGCTAGGTGCTCCAGCATAACAAGTGATGTTAAATTTCTATGTTAAAGTAAATTTGATGTTAAAGTTATATGCTTTAACCAACAAGGAAAAAAGTCATTCCAAAAGGAAGCTTTGTGGTGGTGAGATGTTAGCTGTTCCACGTCAGTGTTTACTTGTATTGCTGCACGGTGCAACCTTATCCCAAAAGACAAGCGAGTCTGTCCCAACATCTTTGGACAATACAACTTTAAAATACCTTTAAAGAAAGCTTTAGTGGGAAGCCAGTGTGGGCATAAAACTTGCTTTTAAACTGCCTAGCTCAGCTTACCTTTAACATACTGGTCCCATTGTTTTCTGAAATCTAAATCCATATAGACATCTGCACACACTTTTGGGGGACAGTCAGCAAGCCCACCGAAGATTTTATACTCATAAAGTCCTGATTGCTGTGGAAACAGAATAGGGAGAGGAAAAGTCACACAGGAAAGGGAAGTATTCTGCAGCAGAGAGAACAGCTGAAGGAAGTTAGGTGGGGCACATACTACAAATACGCTCAGGAGCTGTGAAAGCAAGTGTTGAAAAAACAATGCAAGATTCAGTCTTTAACCTCTCGACTTTTTGATCTATACATGAAAGTTTAAATCCAGACAGGCTGACCTGCCCAGCACAATGGTTGTTCCTTCCCTTACACCAGTATGCTTTTACTTCGTAAGTAGTTCCAGAGGGACCATGTTTCTTCACGCACACGCACCCCTTTTCATCTCCAGTGGTCAGTGTGGCCAAAATCCTGCCCACATTAAAGCATACCAGAACACAAGCATTTAATTGTGGCAGAGCCTCAAGGCTCTATGTAACAGGCATAAGGATCTCATTCATTTCCAGGAGGTTGCCAAGTACTACATGATCCAGAATATGCCTTCCTGAAAGTTAGGTACACTCATCCCGGAGGCTGTGATATAAGAATGCTTTATAGTGTTCATGCTTATATACAATGCACTACTTATTATTTGCCTTGAGTACCTATTAGTTATTTTCTTTCTGAAAACTGCCTGCACTGAAGGGGTGGGGTGCAGGATATCTCCAACACCAATACTTTTAATGTTTCTTTAAACATATGGAAACTACATCTGTGCCTATAGAGCAATGCTGTACTATTGTTAGTACCGGCTCATGACATTATAACAATGAGAGTATTTTGAGAATACAGTGTAGGAGTCAAATTCAAGCATTCCCAGGGAAAGGGAAGGAAGGATTATACAACATTCTGTTAGTGATTAGTTGATCTTCTTTTCCATTCTTCACACTTTACAACTCAACCCTAGAAGATGCCATACTGGAAGATAATGACAGGTCCAATAAACTTAAGTTATTCATCTTCACTGTGGCACTGTTGAGGCATAAATCCCTAGTTTCAATCCTGGACTGCTGAGCACCTATGCAACCCCATAAACTCATATCACCTTTCTGAAAGGCATCTGCATTTCCTTTTTTACAAGGCAGGTAATTTTGAAAATATCATACTTGAAACTGAATCAAGGTGCTTTCAGTCTATGCCAAAGCACTACGCTGGTACTTCAGAAGTATTTGTTTTAGCTTAAGCACTACTTCTTTCCAAGGTCACTAGTCAGAAATGCTATACGGATTATCTTACATGTATGTGTACTTACATTAAGTGTCATGTAAGGTGAGACTATACAAACCACCAATTTCCTCGCTCTGCTAATAATTTGTAAGTCTTACGTTCTCTTGCCACTGAGCTGTTCTTCCACGGAAGAGACGTTTTTCTGTTCTTTTCCTGGTCTTTAATTACAACTGTAAGAGTTAAAAAACCAAGCCCACCTGAAACATTAATTCTGCAGCCAATATACAAAGCTCTTCATCAGCACACCCCCTGTTCCTTTGCATCCTTTAGCTCCTCTTAATCCTTTGTTCTTTTTGTCAGAGGAAAGCCATGGGGCAGTTCTCTCATTTAAGCTATCAGAGCTTGCCTCAAAGACTTTGTATAGAATTGTATGCTTCATAATTTAAGGAGAATAGACTACAGATCACACTTCTAAACAGAGTAAAAGCTTTAGGAACACGAACTATTATGTCGTATTGTTTGTTTCCAAAGCTTTTATGTTCCACTCAACAAGCAGCTTGAAGTGCTGGTAATACTTTTTGATCAAGGACTATCAAAAGATATGCTTACATTATTGGTCTTTAAAACATTTTTGCTATAGGCAGAACAACCAACACAGGTCAAAATAGAGCTGGTAATGATGTAATTTACTGTCAAAGAATTCAGAAACTGATACAAATCTCCTCACCTAATACATAGGATTCTACCTTACATTCAAAGTTAGCTGTTCAGCTGGCTCACAGTATCAGTCCAGTTATTCTGTCATCTTTAGCCTTCAAGTTCTTGTACTACAGCTCCAGAAGGATCAACTTATTCATGTAGAATTGATGCTGTTCTTCTCTACCAGTTTAAGAGTTCCACTGCTGGACAAATTGTGCCATACCTCATTGAATATCTTTTACTGAAAAGGCAGTATTTTGAAAGAGTATGAAACAGCACATCATGACCTGACAGGTGAACAGTTAATCTTGCAGCAAGTAAGACAAGGATAGTCAATAAAAACAGCAATTTACAAGAAAAAAATTTAAAAAGTCAAATGTTTCAGGTTTCAGAGGCCTATCAGCAGGGGAATCGATCAGCAGGTTGGAACACAGCACAGAAAAGCTGTGGGAAAAGGTGTACAGGAAAGCCTGGGAGACCTATTTGTGTAGCCTGAAGAGAAGGTGGAAAGAGAAGGCAACAGGAAATATAAACACTGCCTTCAGCTTCCTGAACTACCGCTGTTACAGCTGATGTGCAGTTCAGTAAGTGTTAAAAACCAATTTTTCCAGTAACAACTTGAAGACCCTCCTCTTAAGACATGGTTCTTCTTTTCCTGGGGCACTTCAAGGCAACTGAATGACAGAATAAGCAAGAGACTTATTTCCCAGCAACATCAGAAGACCGGACCTATGCCGTTCCCTTGCAGCCTTCCCAGCCCCTCCTCCACCTTCCCCAAATCGGGGTCAGTTCGCAAGAAGCACAAGAAAAACACCTGCGTGTTTTTCAGCCAGCTTAACAGTCCATCCATATAAAAGCAGAGTTTCACCCCCACCGTTTTTGAACTACCTCCTGATGTTAGGGGCAGAAAGGTGAAAAATTCAGCTCGGAAGGAGTTTTGGAGAGGGGGAGAAGGCGGGGAGCCGGCAGGTCCTGGCGCAGGTGCGCAGGGAGGGGTTTCCCTTCACCCCCAGGCCGCCGCAGGAGCCACCCCGACCCCGGCCGCTGGCGAACCTGGAGCTCCCCGCGGCAGAGCGGCTTTCCCCGGCAGCACTTAATAGCATTACTGGGCAAGCTGCTTGCTGGGAGCACGGCGAAATCGAGCCGGGGCCGGCGGGACTCGGCGGCGCCTCCCGCAGCCCCGGCCGCCCCCGGGGCCGCCCCGCTCCTCCCGCCCGGGCCCGGCCCCGCTTCCTCGCTCCGGGCCCGGCCGGGGAGCGCCCGAGGCCCCGCCACCCTCTGTGGCGTGGGGGAGCTCCCCCGCCCGCCCACCTCGTCGTATAGCCGGTAGATCCTCACGCCCATGCTCTCCACCAGGAGCTGCCAGGGCGCCACCGGCGCCGGCTGGTCCAGCTCCCGGCAGGCAGCCCGAAACTGCTCCTCGGAGAAGCCCCGAGGCGGCGGCGCCTCCATTCTCCGCGCCGGGAGGCGGCGGCGTCGGCAGCGCCCGGCACAGCCAATGGCCGCCACAGCCCCTCCCGCCCGGCCGCCCGGCCCTGTCATGGCGCCCAGGGGCCGCGCTGAGGGCCGCGCCGGGGAACGGGTCGGGGGTGTGGGGTCTGGGGTCTGGAGTCTGGGGTCTGGGCCATCGGGAGCCCGCGGGGCTTACGAGCACCCAGGACCGCTCCCCGTGCGGTTTTGCCAGTCAGCCCCTCTGTGGGGTCTCGGTAAATGGGGCCGGGAGCGGTGGCATCCCAGAGCTGCATCCAGTTGGCTCTGGGCCTGCTGTGCTCCCCGAGGGTGGAGGTCACAGAGTCACGGAATGGTTGAGGTTGGAAGGGATCTCCAGAGGTCATCTAGTCCCCGCTGCTCAAGCAGCGTCACCTGGAGCATGGTACACAGGATGGCTTCCAGATGGGTTTGGAGCATCTCCAAAGGAGACTGCACAGCCTCTCTGGGCAGCCTGTCCCAGTGCTCTGTCACCCGAACTGTAAAGAAGTTCTTCCTCATAAGGTTATGAAACCTCCTGTGGTTCACTCCCATGGGTATGGGGCTTCATCAGACCTACTAAAATTTAGCCTGCCTGCCAGCACTAGCCCAGTGTTGGTCATGGTAACCTCTGTGCAAGTCTGGCAACATTTATCGTTTTCCAGTTTCTCTGCCAAGCTGCTGACTTCTTTGACAAAGAGTTCACTTATGTCAGCTGTCCCTTCCACTTCCAGTCAACTGGTTTGCAAGCAGAGCATGAGGATTTTTGGCTGACTCTTTCAGGGCATAAAAGCTGAGTTGCACTTACGGTTATCCTTGCACAGTGGGTTCATAAGAGCTCCCGAAAACTTTTGGAGACGAGCTCATGGTGGAGGGCAGGATGGTGTCCCACTGTCCTTTCCTGCCCAGGTTTAATGCCAGAATTTGACCTATAGCTTCTGTCTGGAATGATGTCATGAATGCCAATAAGTCTCCATACCTCTGTACCTCCTCCCACCGTCTCAATGAAGCTGTTGTGCAAATGTTCCAGTTCTTTTGTTTTATTTTCATGTGTTTACATGTATTATGGCATTTTATTATTAATATTTATACAATATGTATAAATATTTTTGTTTGTGTTCTTTGTGAATTACAATGTCGTGCTTTCAGTCAGCCCAGCTGGTTCTCCAAAACATGATGACAATACATTTTGCATGACTGAACTAAGTTGGCTTCAGTGGAGCTATGCTGCTCTGAGGCTCCTGACTTTGAAATGGAATAGGAGGCTGTGATCTCTAAGCGAGACTGATTTACCTTGCAGAAATATTTCTTTAAACAGTAGTTTTACTTTTGCAGCAATTTTACCAAATTTCTGTCTCACTTAAATCCCGTTCATGGTTTGAAATAGGACTCATGCAAGACTGTAAGAGCTGGTGGCTCTTGTTTGTAGAGTCTCACATATGAAAAAGGAGTCGTGAGTCAAAAGTTGATGTTTAACAAGCAGGCAAAGGCCTGTAAGTGAGCCTGGGAGATTTCATGATCTCTTAAGGAGCCTCATCTGTGCAACAGAACTAAAGTGATCACAGCTCAGGGTTCCCTGCTGTTTTACAGTCAATGTTTTGCATTATATGGTTGTCTGCATGGCATCAGAGCACTAAGTTGGCTGCAGCTGGCTGGCCTTTCTTGCCTCCCCCCCCAGCACTCTCATGGAAAAAGAGAGGTTTATCTCACAAGACTACTCTAGGGACCAGTGTTTTGAAAACGACAATAATATGTGACCTTTTTTCTTGGTAAATAGGGAGTGGTGCTTACTAAGAAAGCACAAACAGTTCAGAAAGGAGACTTTATTTTCTATTTTCATTTTTGTTTATGAAAGCATTATTCTTTATTGCTTGTATGTCTGTGTCTTTGCCCTTAGCTTAGGGGCGGAAGCTAGAATAAGATCCCAAAGCCTTTGATATCTGCAGTGCTAGATAGTGTGGCTGTAGTCTGGGGTAAGCTGTGATGGAGTGGGGACTAACATTTCTAGAGCTTTGCCCCAACAGACAGTGGGATAGCAACTGCTTCAGGGCAGCTGGTTGTGGGAACATGAACCCAAGCCTGAGCACAGCTACCAAAGGCAGCCTAGATACAGCACGATCAAGTCCCACACATGGGTCAAGGACCTAAATACTGACTTGAATGAAAATACACTGTTACTATTCTAGGGCAATGAGGGGGAGTTTTGGAAGTGCCCGCATGACTTGACCCACATACTTAGTATTTCTTAGGTATTTAGCTGCTGCCGCTTTCAGGGGGAAACAATACCTCAAAGGAAATTTGCAGATCTGGACTCTCAATGGAATTAGTGCAACTAAAATGTCCACCTGTTATTTACAATGGGAGCAATCTCTATTAATTCCACCCTAGCACCTAACCTTTCTGCTGCTGAAATCAACATAGAATAATCCATTGAGTTCTGCAGGGTGGAATCTAACCAGTCATTTGGAGAACTCACTCCATCAGGAAATCATATGTGGCTAGAAATGAAAACAGCAATGAATATTGCATTGATGTTTTCAGGCCCCAGATGAATTTGTGTTTGTTTTGGACGTGAGTATCCATATGTGAGAGAATGTTACCAGCTATATTGTGTTTTCCTGCATCTGTCTCAGTGTGGCACTGGTGCACTTTGAGAAAGTCTTGAAAATGGAATAAAGATGTGGGATTTTGATGGACTCAACTGCTGTGCAGACATTGATATACTATTGTCATTTCGTTTTGTTCCGTGCGTTCCAAAAACTTTGCAAAAGTGCTGAATAGTCCTGACATACCATTTATACAGTATGCACATTCACATTTCTATTATTCACAGCCGAACTAATTAGTCTTCTGCTACTGTTGTTTTATTGACTTCATTATGTAAAAGCCTTTGTTACAAATTATTTCATGACTTTTGCAGCTTGCACCAAGCAAGCTCTTCATCCAGAAAGCTGAGAAGTAACAACAGCATCTCCCACCAGAGAGGTACATGTGTAAGGCGAGTTGTGTTCACCTCTCCTGTGTGAGCCAAAGGGAAATCTGTTTCTTCAACACTCTTAGAAGATGCAGCAAATGTAGCCTGTTTGCCACACTGATATCTTTTACATTTTGTAGAGGCAATAATGGCACCCAGAGTGTTGATCATCTCTTTTGCAAAGAACTAGCATAAGATGTTCTGCTTTGAGCTGCCAGAAGAGGTCTTAAGTAGCCATCAAACATTGGCTTGTCATGGCCTTTTTCATGGAGTTGAGGAGTTGAATTTAATCCCAATGCCTGGCTGTATCTGTACTGAGTATCTAGTTACAATAGAGCAGATTTCCTGCTTTCTAATACCAAATATTTTTATCTTTCATAAAGATTATATGGACTTCTGGTGTCCACCTCTTTCATTTGGTCATGTTTGCTTGTGGTTTACAATTTTTAGCCACAGTGTTCCAAGAAAGTAATGCCCTTCCTGTGCAAATAAACAAGAGATTGTGAGGTGCAGCCTATTTATATGGCCTTGAGAAAAGAAGAGTAATTTTAAAATTCAGCTGAAGGAAAGAAAGGATTGCACTATCGTCTGCATGACCTAAAATGACTCATTCAAAAAATAAACAAGACTATTTAGATCTTGATTTGGCGCATGCTTCCCATTACCACACCCTCTGCCCTCCTAACCTGTTTACAGTGGATATAGAAATATTTCTAAACATTTCCTTCAGCATGTGATGCTAAGTCAATTAATATATATGGAAAGCTTTCTTTTGTGGGAATAGTCAAGACTGGTCTTACTGCAATAATTCTTTCTTTGTGGTAGTATCCCCTGGGTCAGATACTTGACTTGCTGTTGATTTCACAGAAGTCATCTATTATATAGGAGAAAAAAAATGTTACGTGTTTTTTTTTTAGCTGTATACAGTCTTTTAGATAGATGTTTCGTATAAGCTTAGTCCCAAGGAATGTATTGAAGAAAGACAAAGAAAGACTCATCAGAAAAGGTAAAAGACAAAAGATTTAAAGATTTAAAAGATTTAAAACATTAACAAAAAGAAAAATAATGAAAAAAAAAAAAAGAAATAAAATGCAGTTTTTTTAACAATGAAGATAGTAATGTTTGAACAAACCAGAAAGACATATTCTCCATCTTTTGGATGGTTTTGTGAAAAAGGTACCTCAGATAAGGAGAAAATTCTGGTGTTATAGTAAAGACCTTGGACAGAATGTGAAATTGGATGTTTTATGTTAGGCAAGCTATCAACCAAGATAATATGAAGGCTTCTTCTGGCCATAAACTCATTTACCTGTGCATCAATAGCTATCGATGCTTCGCTGATAGGACGCTTTAAATGTTACTCCCAACACGGAGTAACATGGTTTGATACATCAAACCTGACTGATGTAGGAACACAAAACAGTTCGTCCACTGTGACAATAGTCAAATGTTTCAGAGGAAAAACTGAAAACACTGTTGTAGGTCATTTTTTAGTATAAGTGCATGAAACTTCCTCTGAACCTAGGTGATTAATGACTGAAGTAAATATAGCGCAGCAGGGCGTCCCAGTGCCTTATGTCTGCTTTCTGTAAAGCCAATGATCTGCACTTTTATCATTCATTCTATCAGTTGTCTAAAGATCAGGATTAGGCCTTTCCCCAGGCTGTATGAGCTCAGGGGCAAATCAGATCATTTCTCTGGGGAATTTGTGTGTTCAGTTTCCGTGTCTTGCAAACCCTTGTGCATACTTAGCAGTTCCCATGGGGAATAGATCTTTTGCTTTTCAGTTGGAACCAATCCTGAGCTAGTGAATTGATTAATATAATTCAAAGACTGATAGGTTTTAAGATAACTTTACCCACGAACTTCTGCATTAATCTATAGCCATGACTGCAACAGTAGAGGGGCAAAAGGGGCTGCCAGAAGAAGGCGTATTTCCTTCAGAGGCGATAGCTATTGCTGCTTCTATGGCCTAGGAAGACAAACCACTGGCTCACAGCAGTAGGCATTGTGAGCTGGGAGAAGACCAGGAGAAGGGCTGCTGCAGCTCTCTGAACTGTGTCCAGACTTAATCCGCTTAAACCCAGCCGCGCTTGGAAAAGCACCTAAGCATGTGTTTGTCTTTAAACTTTCCCTAAGCACTTTTTGCTAAAACAGATTCAGTTCTATCACTTAACAGTTATGAAGCACTTTTAAAGATGGAGAGCCCCTGCAGAGACTAAATCATCGTCTGTGTTTTTCCTCTGTCAGGGAGATGGTTATAGTTCATCCTCCTCTGCGCTTGCCTTCCATCCTGAGCACAAAGGGCTTCAAATAGTTTACATGGAGCTTAATGGAAGGAAGCCTGCTGCCAAACTGTGAGATATGTACATGTTACATTCTGCGTCTGAAGAAAGATGTGGGCCCCAAGAGTGTAAACTGTATGATATATTGAAAGAGAAAGGTCGCCTGCATGAGTTTGGGGCAGCCTTGTTGCATGTATGGCTGTGCATATATTTATCCATATTGAACTGGGGTGGAGGAGTTAATAAATATGCTGGCAGAAAACTCTTAATGGAGCTCTGCAGGATGTAATGGATCACAAGTGGTTTTTTCCCCCTAACTCTTTCTTTCCCTTTTCAACAATTTTCCCAAGCTGTCTGGACCCTATGGAGAAACTTGTTTCAAACAAAGTAATTCAATTCATGGTCTGTGTAGGTTAGCTGAAAGATTGTAATGTTCTTTCTCCTGATGGAGAGTCAATTAGAGCTGGCTGAAGTGCTCCATATTCATTACATTGACCATCTGGAGAGGGAACAGCATGTGTTCCTTATGCCATAACTACTGGCAGAGCAGGAACACAAGATACCAAACATCTCCTGACATTATCTGCTAGGTAACCTTGGACAAGGCCCCTTTTCAGCTCTTTGTCTGCATTTCCCTACATGTTTTTGTGTCCTGTGAATTCCCCGGGGCACTCAGTGCAGGTGAAAAAAAAAAAGAAAAGAAAAGCCCCCTGCAGAGCCATGGAAAGTGATCATACCTCCCCTGACTTAGATCTCAACTGAATCTGCTGGATCCGACTGTAGTCTCTAACAGTGTACCAAAGAAGAGTTCTGGTGAAATTACATTGTCTCATGTTTGTTATTAGCCTTCCCCTAGCTCAGCCAGAAAGCTGCCCTGTCAGCTAAAGATTCAGAGGTTCTGTAACTGACTTGTGCAAGATTCAGGATTTGGCTTCTGGTGGTGTGGCACATCCATCCCTCTGTTAACTGAAGGCACATGTCCACACAAGGAATGCAGCTCTTCAGATGAGAACTTCATGTAATTATGAAATCAGTAGGAGATAAAAATAATTGTTTTCAGTTCCAGATGTCTGTCTTCTTCAGCGCTGCAGGAAGATTAAGTGAAAGTCAAGTAGTGCAATAATAAAGCTCAAATGCTCAGCAGGATAACTGATGTTGACCAAAGTACTGGTAGGATCTAATGAAGTTCAAAGAAAATTCCTTTGCATATTCCTGTTCACCAAAGAGGTCTCCCTCTGTCATTAAACACATCCATTTCATGAACCTGATTATACAGAGGAGGTGGTTTGCAAAGCTATCAACCAACAGGGCCGAACTCCCTCCCATGTGCTGCAAGCTTTTAATGAGAGGGGAGCTAAAGCAATTTATGTGAAGTAGAGGTTTGGTTCTTTGGCTAAACTGGCTTTGTTAAGGACTCTTCCCAGCCACAAAACACATACAGTGCATGACTTGGGACAATTTTTCCAACATAAACGTGTTGAAAGGTTGCTTTCTGAAAGCTCCAGTAAGTGCAATCAACTGGTATGTTGTGTCCATGTGTGGGCTTAGGGAGGAAACAAAGGAAAAGTCAGTGGAGGGTTAGGGAAAAGCCAAGAACTAATTGAATAGAGAGCCCATGGTGATTGCACTTTGCCAGATTAATGAGTCACTGTTTGCTGTGCTTTTAGGGCCCAGGAGACCACTAGAAACTCAAAGGAAGCCATGAAGTATTGCAAGTGTGTCTTAGTAGGCAGAGCAACAGCATTGCTCAATTTAGGAGTAAAACTCCATTCTCTGAATAGGCTGCATGAGTTCCAGAATCACACATGCTTCTTGCAAATCATCCTAGCTGCTGGGGCTGCACCTCCTCTGAAGCAGCTGTGTTAAGGCCACAGAGAGGAGATTTTGTCATTTAGTGCAGGTCCTAAAGGGGAAGTATGTGGTGTTTAGGCATGGCAGTCCAAAAGTGTGAACCTGTAACCCCTCACCGCAGCTGTTGCTTAGTCCTGAAGTTTCCTCAGCTGTTTGCACTGAATTTCTTACAGGTGCCAAACGTGCTGCTTAGGGCATGGTTCATTCTTCTGTCCGTCTATCCTTGGAGAGTCATGCTCAGAACACAGCAGGACCTTAAAAGGCAGAAGGTGTCAGTCACCCCTTTCTAAAATGGCCAGAGGGGATGCAACCAAGTCTTCTGCAGCCCTTCTGTGCCTGGGAGCTCCAGCCCCATCCTCCTAGGGGAGAGTCCAGTAATCAATCTCCCATCAGCAGAGGGAGGCATCCTCATCATTTCTCCTTGCAGCTTTTCTGCTTCACTAAAAGGAGTTACACTTGCACTGGGTCTAGAAGAAACTGTGACTTTAGCCTAGTGTTAGGGCATTCATTTGTACCAAAACACATGAATTGTAAGACCAGCTTCAAGGCTTGTTTATATGCCCTTCAGATTAGTTCCTCGAAAATCAGCATCAGGAGTTATTTTATGCAAAACTTTCAGTATTTTTACGTAATACTTTCAGTAATAAACTTGGTATGGAAAAGTAAGAATGTACTAATGAATATGTTGGTGGAGTAAGCAGGGAAGGGAGGTCTCTTATCAGTATAGGAGATATATCCAATATATCAAATAATACCCTGGAAGGACTAGAGAAGAATTGATGTAATAGGAGTGGGGTGAAATTTAGGTCATGCACATGTGTGCTAACAGCAAGAATTTCTGATACAAGGTGCTGAAAGGAACCAATACTGGAGAAAAGTCCAAATATAGTGAACAATCACGGTTAAATTGTGAAATGTTTGTTTCTGATAGAGATGGGCAAATGCTTCCACGCAAAATACAGATGAAACCTCATCTGGAAAACTGATGATCGAAAATAAGACTGAATCTGATTTTTACCTCTTAGGACGCTGGAGGGTTGTTCATCCATGGATAATTGTCTGTGAATACATTCAGCTACGGGCAAGACAAAGGTTCCTAAGTATCAGCAGAATAAGGCTCACAGCCTTCAACAGGAGAAATAGGAAACCTTGCTGATTTGAGGTGGAAGTTGGCAAACTCATAAAGACAATGCCTGGCATGGCTGCTCATATTAGGAAGGACCAATGTGATGTCTTCTCTAATGGCCTCTCTGATGACAGTTCCCCTCAGATCTGGTTGCTTGTCATTTCTGCTAAATTCTTACGTATTTGGAGGGAACACTAGCAAATGGGGAAAAAATGCCAGTTTCTTGTATAAAGCTGTGGAGCTCTTCCAGAGCCCTCTGGCTGATTCGGCTGTAGATGAACCCTTGGCAGGATCTCTGTCACTGGGAGGATTTAATTACACACAGAGGGTAAATCCTGGCCCCAGTGAAGCTGATGGAAGTTTTGCTGTTAATTTCTGCGGGACCAGGATTTCACCCTGGAAAGGGAGTCAAAAGTACAGGCATGCTTTCTGAGACAGAGGGGCTGATTAAATACAGCTGGTGTACTACTCTTTTATCAATCATTGATAAAATAGAGCCTTTTAAATACAGGCTTCGGGTAAACTTAACCACAAAATTCAAACATGCCCTTTTACAAGCTTTAAAAACAAGATATGTCTGTTTTTTATCTGAAAAGAAAGGAAATCATAATAAGAAATAACTCATACCCGCACCCACCCACTCCAAACCCTTGTGGCATTTGGCGTTCAGCTTCAATAGGCGATTAAAGCACGGAAAGTCCCATTAAAACGCTCCTAGCTGATACATAAGGCTTCATCCCCTCCGGAGGGCATCCAAAGCTCTGCTCGTCTTTGCTTAAGTCCCAGAGGAACTGCAGCAGGAGGTGCACCTTGGTAGCATCCCGCAGCACCCTGGCTATTTGCACCCCGGCCTCCCCCCGCGTGTCCTGCTAAGGACGGGGCCGGCCCTTGGTGCCGTACCCACCTGGCAGGGGCTCTCGCAGCCCCTCTCCTTAAACCTAGGGTCCGCCCGGCCGGGAGGCACGCGTGGGCTCGGCTTCCCCGGCCCGCGGAGGGCAGGACAGGGCAAGGTAGGGCAGGGCAGCCCAGCCCCGCCGCTCTCCGGGCTCGGCTCGGCCCGGCCCCCCGAGGCCAGCCCTCCCCCGGCCGGCGCCGAGCGGGACCTGCCCGGGTGGGAGCGGCCGCCCCGCCCGCGGCTGCTCCGCCGCTGAATTTGCTCCGGCCCCTGCCTCTTTTCGCTCGCACCGAGAACTTTGTTTACAGTCCCTTGTGCAGCGAGCTGCATCCCCCTCTTAGGCTCTCTGCGGGCTCCTGGCCGCTGCAGTTCTTGCCCGGCGGTCGAGAGGTAAGGTACGGGACGGCACAGCACCGCACGGCACGGCATAGCATGGCATGGCTCAGCTCGACATGGCATAGAAGGGCTCGGCTCGGCTCGGCTCGGCATGACATAGAAAGGCTCGGCACAGCTCAGCTCGGCACGGCACGGCTGGGCTCGCAGCACCGGCCCCGCACAAGCCGGCCGGTCCCAGCCGTGCCTGGCGCCGGGCGGCTCCGGGCTCCCCCGGGCCACAACCCCGCAAGGCAGCGGTGCGGGTCTCAGGGCAGCTGCGGGGCTTTCGGCACCCGGCCGCGTCCCTTCCTTCCCCGGGAGGTGCCGGGGTCGCTGCCACACGCCGTGCTGCGCCCCAGGTGTGCGCGGCGCTCACGGGCGTGTTTGAAGGGTTCGGGATGTGCTGATCAGAAAGTTTGTTGGGGTTGGGGGGGTTGGTTGGCTCCCCTCCTATCCCCTAACTCGGTCTGAAGAATGAAAAAGGTGCGTAAGAGCTCGAATCCGGTAATTAGTTTACCTAAAAACTTGCTGGTGGAAACTTATCTGCATCCCGAGGCTCAGGCAGTTGGCAGGGGTGTAAGGCGTTCTCCTGCCCGTTTCATTAAGGGCCTGATCCTGCAATCTTGTAAGTATAAATTCGAGTTCTGTATTTCCAGGAGTGTTTCCATGAGGAAGAGCTGTGGGATTGTATATAGGATTATTTTAGTGGGTTGAATTCCAGTTCTGTCTCTCCTCTCAGTACAGCCAGACTCCTGTTGCTGTTTTTCATAGTCACTCTAATGCAAAACCAAGTGTGAAACATGGGTATTATGATTAATTGGGATTTTACATAAGCAAAAAAAAGGGTGTCTGCAGTGTTACGCAAGATACAGGGAATCGGGTCCAGAGCCTGAAGACATGAAAACTTTAATGTGCTTTGTTGGTTTGGAGTAAATGCAAAAAGGGAAAGGACTGTCGTGGCTGAGAAATACCAGCTCTTTGCAGTCACACAGATCCTCAGTATGTGGGAAGCCCCCTGAGAGCGCTATGTTGAAATGAATCAGAGTTAAACCATTGGACTTCTAAGGTATGGATTTCATGTGTTTCTGCTGCCTCAGCTTTGTGGTGAGCTAGAGAAGGATGAGGGAAGAAATCCCAACTATAAAAGTTGCTCTGACTGGTAGTGTGTGGGTTTTTTTTTTTCTTATAAAGGCATTAATTAAAAAAAAAAAAAAAAAGACCTAAACTCATGTATTCAAGGGCAAATACAAATAAATACTGACAAAGCAATTCATCTTCCCAAAGAATGATGCTGGAGAGTAGCTTAGGGGGCACAATTGCACTAGGAAGAGATTTGCATGTGAATGTAACCGTTCTTATAATGTAAGTGGAAATTGACTGCAAGATAGTTTCAGAGGTCTGCTTTTGTTTTAATGTAATCTAGATTATTCATCTAAAGTCTTTGTATTTCTGCATTTTCTTCCACACTTTTCAAGAAGTGAAGCTAATTGTTAGATAGCATGCACAAGAATATAGTCAAGGAGAGAAGCAAGGAGACCTCCATATTATTAGCTAACTTCAATGATCAGCTAAATATACTTTAGATATGTCACAGGCTTATTCCTAGGAGCCTCTACAGAACAAAAGAAGCAATTTGTGCCTGTGAATGCTTGTGCTTGTGAAACATTAGCATGGTCTATGGAAATTAAAAATCAAAGAAAATTAAGAAAATCATATGAACTCATGCATTGATTTTCATCTCCATTTAGGAGCTTCTGCTTCAGTGTTAAATTGATCCTCCATAATCATGCCCATATAGAAAGGGAACATTGAATACGATCAGCAACATAAATTTCTGCTGCTTTGTAAGTTTTACCCAGTTGCTTGGTGGTTTTGCAGAAGTTTCTGCAGTTGATAACAATTTCCATCACTGCTTTCACAGAATCACAGAATCACAGAATTTCTAGGTTGGAAGAGACCTCAAGATCATCGAGTCCAACCTCTAACCTAACACTAACAGTCCCCACTAAACCATATCCCTAAGCTCTACATCTAAACGTCTTTTGAAGACTTCCAGGGATGGTGACTCCACCACCTCCCTGGGCAGCCCGTTCCAGTGCCTAACAACCCTTTCAGTAAAGAAATTCTTCCTAACATCTAACCTAAAACTCCCCTGGCGTAACTTTAGCCCATTCCCCCTCGTCCTGTCACCAGGCACATGGGAGAACAGGCCAACCCCCACCTCTCTACAGCCTCCTTTAATGTACTTATACAGAGCAATAAGGTCACCCCTTTCTGCAAAGTTGTCACAATGCACTGCTGCAGATTCTGCCCGGTCCCTGTCTGAGTTATGAATTTGGTTTTAATAACAATAAAAAAAAAAAAAATAGAAACAAAGAATATAAAATGTAATAATTATCATTACATTATAGTGTATTATTATCATTATTTATATTATTTTATATTACTAATGTTATTATATTACCTTTTTTTTTTTTTTTTATATAGGGGATTATATTACCTAGTTTTTATTATTAGCAGAATAAATAGATGTAAAAGAGTTTTGGTGGGAAACATGTTGTCACTGTCAGTTTACAGCTAGGACTCAGACTGAGGCACAGGAGATTAAGTGATTTGCTCAAGGCACTGGAAACATAAAAGAGACAACTACACAAGTGTTCTAAGTTGGGATTTGGCTCTTTGGTTCACAAAGGTGAAGTGTGTGATAGAAATGGAGTTAAAGAGACTTTTCACTGCAGTAGTTCATGTGCATTCCCTTTTCCTGCCTAACTCTTTCAGGGGCACTTGCCTGGGTTGTGACGCTTCAGCACTGAGAAGTCACTTGGTCAAAGCTAAATGTTGCGTAGTGCCAGAAATGGGTGACAGCTGCCGAGAAAAGAGGCAGAAACCACTAGGAGAGCCAGAGAGAGAACATCTCCTGCTTCGGTCAGCACACAGTGGGAACTTTTCCATGCAGGAGTTTTATTCTTAAGAAGCTGATGTATATCCAACCACTTTTCTTGTAGGAAACCTCCATACCAGAACACCGTCACCTCCGATTCATCATTCAGCAACATCTGACACTGCAAAGCCTGGAACAGCTCTTTCTGCTGCCTGACTCTGCCTGGAATTGACAGACAAGGTATCTTAAGATGTCTTCCTCTGCTTGCTGAAACCAAGGATTTGTTGTGATGGATTTCTCATGGACCTGGTAGGTGTTCATGCTGATGGAGTTCATGTCTTTTCAGTAAATCTCCATTTACACCTATTAGCGGGTACGGTATGCTTCAGGGTAAAACATTCCTCTCTCTCCTTTATCCCATGTTAGCCGCAGATTGCCACACAAACACATTCTTTCTCCAAGTCAAAATAGTTCCTTAAGAAAGTACTTCTGGTATGATCAGTGAGAGGATGCTGGTGTTACCCGGTATCTTTGCCTAAACATCTTACCCTGAAACCTGAACCAAGTCACCTGTTGGCACAAGTCAGAAATTATTTTGCTAGGAATGAGGATCTAGTGCCATTTTTTAGGATGAATACCTTTACTCACACTTCAAATAGGTTCTGTTATTTATTTAACTTACAGTATTTCTATAGAGGTTTGTTTATTTGTTTTATATGAATGCCTGTCTGCTTACATCCTATTACAGGCATGAACTGTACTCCTCGCATGTCAGCGGGTGTTTTGCCATTGATGTAGTTCTGGTAGTTTAGGATACTTTATTTATTTATTTTTTCAATCCATGTTAATTTTGACTGTATAAATATCTCTTCTTGCTTCGTAAATCTCTAAAAGATGTCAAAAAGACTTAATGCTCATTGGGGGTGTATCTGAAGCAGACAGACAAGGACTTTGGAAACAGGTGTCCCACAAATTTAAGAATAAGTCATTGAACAAATTGAATTCTACTAATTCAATTTACAAATTGAATCTACAAATTGAATTCTACTAATGGTAAAATCAAAAAAAGATAGCATTTGGGTGGACACATTCTACCACTGTGCTGAAGTTCAGAAATGTTTTGTGGGTAAGTAATGTAGCAACATAATGTCAACAGTGTGAGCCTCACTGTCATGTAAATCATCATGGAAAATGCTGAATTTGGGCTTAGATCTGTCTGGAGACAGATTATTGGCTCTCTAGCACAAATCCATAGCTAGTCTCTTTCAACTGATATGAAAGGTTCTGAGTCACACATTATGAAGTAAATCATGAAGTATGATTTACAGTTCCTAAGAAACCCTAAGGTATATAAGGTGCCAGCACAACGTATTTGCTTTGTCTGCTAAGCACTGCTCTGATCCCCTGCCTGCCCTTGGGGATACAAAGTGCCTTCAGTGTTGTCATTAGGGAGGGAAAGGCTACTCATTCTGGTAGCTGCTGAGCATCCTGCAGGATTGAGCCCTGAAGACATCTGTGCACAACAAGAGAAAATAATGAGCTAAGTGCTCTTCCTTAGAACAGTAGAGCAAAACTTTGTCTAACCAACTCTGAACTTCCTTCTCTCAATAGCGTTCAAAGAAACTCAAACACAAACTCTCTGACTAGGTACATGGTATAGTCTGGGTGTGGGAGTGTTAAAAATAGAGAAATCCTCTCTCTCGCAAAACACACAGTCAGTTGTATGAGGTAGTGAGATACAAAACCAAGGGCTCTCCACAATGGAGGAATATATCTTAGCAACAAGGCTGGGAGTGGTGGGAAAGGAAAAGGAGAATACAAGTATCTGGCAATTAACTTCCTAGTCACAGATGTGAAGGTGATAAAAGTGATAAAAGCGTTACTGCATTGCCAACACTCTTCCTTGTTCTCTGGGCTACATACCATGCTGTTTGTAACAGCAAAACTACGCAGTCTGTACTGGAGGCTGGTGGAGGAGTCCTGAGAGCTATTCCCAGCAGGGAAACCCAGTGGTTTCCCAGTGGCCTGTTCTCTGTTTTGTGTGGTGGGGTGCACAGATCACCCAGCTCAGTCCAAGGCAGTACAGCAGAAGTAGAGCAGCCCCAGACCAGCAGAGTCCCAGCAGGATAGCAGAGGTCTGTCATTGCAGCTGGAGCAGTGGAGAGCCATGGGCTGGCCTTGCCATGATCAGGTGGCCTGCAGCTCTGCACTGGGCTCCATGGAACCAAAAGCCGTTCTGTTCTGTGGTTCAGATACAATCAAACTGTACGCGCTGCCTGTAGGACCCATAGTGTGTTTTTGATACGAGACAGGAGGAAAGCAACCTGCTGTAACTCAGATGAGTGGATATGACTGTAAATCTTCCTCTTGCACAGTAACATGGATATGATCTCATAAGGGACCTATTACTTTTCAGTTAAGCGGATTTAAATGGCAAGCCAATTAAAGTCCAGCAGTGGTGTTGTAACAGTAGGTTCACCAGCTTTGGGCTGGCAGTTCCTGATTGCAGGAAAATGCCTTCATCTCTGTTCTCCTCACACCCACACCTTGTCATGTCCATTTTTTATTTTATTTTATTTATTTTATTTTATTTTATTTTTTGTAGAGTAACATTTGCTTTGAGAAATGGTTCATTGTTCAGTGATGGTAGAACAGCTATGCTGCCTCAGTGGGTGGCAAGTTTGATGTGTTGGACATAAAAGATGAGCAGAGGAGTTCAGAACCAGCATGTAAAGAGGGAGATGAATCGGACTGGTTTAGAGAATGAGCTGAAGTTTGACTTTTCCAGGAAGATAGTTCCGTAGTAGGTCTCAGATTACTTGTCCCTGGGCCAGCAATCTGAGTTGCAGTGTTGTGTCCTGTACAGAGAAACACAGAAGCAGCAGTTCCTGCCCACAGCACTCTGGACCTGGCACTGTTGCTGGAGTCTGCAATGCCATGGTACTGAATTCTCCCATGTGTGACTTCCTTCAGCTCTTTGGAAAACTCAGCTATGATCAATAGTTATAAGTCCCTGGGCAAGCAAACTTTCTTACAGACATCAGTATCTGTACTCATGGGAGTAGCTTCAGCTGTTGATACTAACATCAACAGATCAATAAGAAAGTGATTTAAATATCATTTAACTAAAAAAAAAAATAATCTGTTATTGTTCATTGCATGGGAAATGGGAAGTTTTTAAACTTTTTCTCTCAGGATACTTTGCTAGTGAGGAGGGCAAGTGGTTACAAAAAATGGTACTGTTTGCATTGCCAGTTATGTTACATCCCAGTTCTACACACATTTACTCCACTGCGTTCATGGGAGTAGGTGAATACATCTTAGGGTTCTATGACAGCTAAATCCACTTTTTCTTATGTAAATTTGCTGTCAAGCTGTAATAAGTCCAGCAACCAGTGTACATATAATTCTTTGTAGTATGCGTGCTGTGTACACTTATGCAAACTATAATGTTCAGACTTGCTATCTGGTGATCTCTGCTCCCGCACTGATTTGTTATTTATTTTAGATTTGGGAAAAACAAACAAACAAACAAAAAAAGACATAAGAATTCCAAATATGGTATAAAGAAGCAAGCTGATAAAGAAATGTCTTTTTTTTTTTCTTTTCCTTTTTTTCTTTTTTTTTCTGGGGCAGCTCTTGCCATGTTATTGTGATGACCTTCGGAGCAAATCTGTGTACTGTGTGTGGCATAGGTGTATATTATAAAGAAACACTGTGAAAAGGGAGAGTGAGCAACAACAGAACTTGTAACCAAAAAAGTCTGGGGACTTCACCTCCTTGTAAGAAAATGAAAATCTAAATTGCATCCAGAACTACTGGCTTCAGGATGTAATCTAAAGTGGGGTTATCCCACAACACTTTGAAGTTGGTGTCTTTCTAGGTCTATGAGTCTCTTCTATCTAGCACTTACACACATTTACAACTACTCTAAGAATCCTTCATGGTCAGTAGGATTACAGTCAAGCTTGTGCATAAATTCTTGTGGGGTCAGAGCCTCTGCTTGTCTGCCGTCCTGACTGAGATACTTCTCTATCCCTGTTTGTCATATAACAGCAGTGCTTTTTATTGAACTCACGCTCTTCTCTCCACAGTGCAATGTGTGTTCAGCAGAGCCTGCTCTAGCCTAAGAACCAACCAAGTCAAGAGAACCAAGATGACAAACGAACCTATTAAAGAGATCTTGGGCACTCCAAAGCATCCTGAGCCTGTAACCACGGAGAAAAGTAATAACAATGATTGCGTGATAACCACCATCCCTCTTGTTAGCGAATGCCAGCTGACTGCAGCCACAGGGGGAGCAGAGCTCTCCTGCTACCGCTGCACCATCCCCTTCGGTGTGGTTATCCTCATAGCCGGCATCGTGGTTACTGCTGTGGCATACAGCTTCAATTCCCATGGATCAATCATCTCAGTGTTTGGATTAGTCCTCTTGTCATCAGGACTCCTTTTGTTGGCTTCTAGTGCAGTGTGCTGGAAAATTAGGCAGCAAAACAAGAAAGCAAAGAGGAGGGAGAGCCAGACAGCACTTGTGGCACATCAGCGAACCTTGTTTGGTTAAAGACAACCATGAGAAGGCTGGACAGAAGACAGAGCCTTGTAAGTCAACTTGACTATTTATCAGTAGGACACATTGCAGGTTTTAATTTAACATTGGAAATAAACTGAAATGGAAACAGAATGGATTAAGAAAGGCTCTTAACAACTCTGCAAATGCTCTTAATGTTTTTCTTACTGCAAACTTAATAGTGATTCTTTCCATGACAGAGGAAAAAAAACTTTTCCTGCATAAAAACTGTTGTTGTAACTGCCATCATCATAACTGCATTCTCCAACATGCTGATTGTGTTGGAAAGGGAACTTGTGGGAACTAAGAAAATAATTTGAACTGACTGAACTGACTTGAAATGCCAGAGATCTCCTTAAAGCACACTGTGACATTTGACCAAGGGAGAAGTCATAGCATTTGAAGTGACTGCAAGTTTATGGTCAGATTGTCTGTGACTTAAATTGTTGCTCAAAAAAAAAAAAAAAAGGCAATACAACCAACCAAACTGCAGATTGCTCAATAAGCTGATTATTATATTTTACATAACTTCCCTCTCCCAATATCTGTGGTACTTTTCCCTTTTTTAAACAACTAATATTTTGTTATACTATTGAATAGCAATAGGTAGAAATGATTAATTATATTGTCTAACCTAAATAACGAGGTATGGTTATAGCTTAAAATATGAGACTTTTTTTTTGTAAATTAAAGTGGTCAGACTTAGCACTTTTGATTATTTTGCTATAAAATTAAAAGTAAATTTCATTAAAATAATATTTGGTGCTGCTAGACATTTAGAAAAACTTTTTTTTTTTTATTGCTTTCAGGTTAGCTTGCATCTTCAACTGCTTTATGATTCTTTTTCTTTTTTGTAGAAGATCACCTTTGACAATAACTGTGAACACATATATCACTGAGCCACTCGCTCCCATGACGGCGGTGGCAATGCCACCTCAGAGCACACCTGCTGAATGCGTGCTGCAGTGGGCCTTCTGCAGGTCATCCCCAAGCCATATGCTTCTCCTGCTGAAAACACACAACCATTCCGGCTTAAGTGCTGACTTTTCCTCTGCCCTGCATGGTTTAAGCTTGTTACATCCATAACTTATCCCCGGATTTGCAAAGTGCACTTCGTGTTTTAAATAGAGCAAGCTATATGTACAGGAGGGGATGTTTGGAGTCAGTATTTGCGTTGCCACACTCCGTGGTTACCAGACGCTATAATAAAATCACTTGCATCAGAGGAAAGCTGACAACACATTTTAGCACTTCCATAGCTCCAACTTAATCACGGCAGGAAGCTTTCCTGCTGCTAGGAGAACATGTTGCGTCACCAGAACATCTGACACTGGTGTCTAATGTCAATCACTTTGCTTAAGGTCATTAAAAATATTAGGGTGTCCCCTTACGATGTACAGGTTTGCATGAGTGACAATTCATAGGAAACACATAGCATGATAAATAATGGAACAGGTGGACTAAAGTGGTGTCTTTCCTATTTAAAATGAGAAAAGTGATTGACATTAGCAAAGCTGGATAAGCTAAATAGGGCTGTTTATTTTTTTTCCCCTGGGAACACAATAGTTTTTCTGACTCCTTCTTCCCCCTCCCCATTTCTCTTTTCTCAGTGGAATTTTGCAGGCAGCCAAGGAGAGAATTGCTGGGTCTGTAGAGATGCAGTGATTTCCAGTACACGTATAGCAGCTTAGTCCGATGATTCCCAGGCTGAGCTGAGAGCAGAAGCAGGCCTCTCGCCCTCTTCAGAAGTTTTTCCCATGCATGGGTCCTCCCTTCGCCATTGCTGTGATGCCAGAGAGCTTGCATGTGGTGGGCAGCATGTAGAAAGAAAGTAGAGGTACAAGGTGAGGCTCTGCTCCAAGTCAAATGAAAACGGGGGCAATCAGTTTACAACAGCAAGTTTGCAGGAGTAAGACTGAGTAAACATTGCTCTTCTACTACTAGAGGAGATTTCCTTTCCCACATCTTTGCTCTTTTTATATATGGGACCGCCTTAGCACAGACTGCTGTGCTCAGTAGCGTTAGCTGTATTCTAGTGAGACAAGGTACGTGCACAAGAATCTTCATATCAAGCCATTGGTGAAAGTCTGTGCAGGAATTCACTTGTATTTGTGTTTTATTCAGAGAAGCAAAATGGCAACTCTGTGGGGAATGGTCCCAGTACCTGGTCCTGGTGTCCTGCAGGAGCAAGGCAGAGTTTATAAACAGAATCACAGAATTGTCTAGGTTGGAGGAGACCTCAAGATCATTGAGTCCAACCTCTGACCTAACACTAAGAGGTCCTTCACTAAACCATATCGCTAAGTTCAACATCTAAATGTCTTTTAAAGACCTCAAGGGATGGTGGTCTCTCCACCTCCTCAGTCCGACATCTCATGTGCTGTTGAAGGTGTTTTTGCATGTTTCATTGCTGAATTAGTTCACAGAATTGGAAACCTGCACAGACTTCTCCTCCATAGTTTGTGTCTTTGATTTTGGGTTAATCTGAAGTTGTTATTGGCAACTTAACGGCCAGTGATGACACCCAACATGAATTTCACAGTCTATATTTTTCTTTTCTTCCTGTATTTTATATATTACAGACATTTTCATTATTTCTGTCTCTCTGCACCCTTAAAAAACAATCATACTGGGAGAGTACAGTGTGGCAGGCTTAGCACCTTCATCTTACCAGAAAATGGTGATACTGCTATATCTGAAATGTTTTTACAAGGGCAAACAGGCCAATGATTTCACAATGGTCAACATCCTCCCCACTCCCTCCCAGACTGGTCAGCTACAAACACAAAAGTTCTGCTTCAATTTTATAGCCTCGTGACCTAGCCTGGGTAGGTTTGGGGTTTCATGCCTGGATGCTGTGTCGCGCAATCCAGGTCTTTCATGTAAAGCCATTTGGAACTCCACACTTGCTGCCTGGTGTTTTTCGTGGGAACCTGAAAGACGAAAGTCAGCCTGGAGGATGCAACCCTGTGGAGATCACAATGACTTTCCAGTTCAGAAACACCTTCCCTTCTGGTGTGAAAAGGCTTTGAATGCAACAAATGGTATTTCAGATGTGGGAGAGGTTGGGTGGGAGCTGATGCAAATTTTATTGTCACAATTGCTTGTCTCTCCCTTCCTGAAAGCTCCGGCAGCATTGCGTAAGAAAAATTGCCCTCACAAGGATAGAAAATTATCTAATAGGGGAATTGCAGTGGTGTGCCGGGCAAATGTTACAGGGATCTTAAATAATAATTTCAAAACCTAAGCACAGGAAATTGTGTCTGTAACTACACCCTGCATTGCTATTGTACACAAAGCCAGTTATAGCCTGGGACAGAATTTTAAAATAATAATCAGTTTGGTATGACAATGCTTAATATTTGTTCTAGTCCAAACGCCCAATTTACGAGTCCCTAGCCACATAACAGGTTATGTTTTGTATGCCAGAGTGGTTCTAATACCATAACTTGCCAGGTTAAAAACAAAAAACAAACTAAAAATGCAAAAAGAGAGAGAGAAAGGTTAATTTCTGGACTTGTGTCCAGAAAAAATTCACTGCCTTAAACACTTGGGAGAGCTCCTGTTATCAAATAATATATGTACAGCATTGTTGCAGCTCTACAGCATAGGAACCAGGCTCAGAGTAGTAAAAGAAGAAAGGCCTGGGGTCTCAGCAAGATCCCAAAGACTCAGGCCAGGAAGCAGCTCTCTGGAATACCCTGTATTCTTGCCTCACCTTTGATTATTTAGAGCCAAAGCCCGGCGCTACTGCTCTTTTTATATCTGAGATGGAGCTAGTCACTTAGGTATTGGCAGGTTTCACCTCATTTGTTTTTGCAATGAGTTCTGAAATAAGAAGAGCAGAGCAATATTGACAGCCATCAGTTTGCATATGCATTTCCAGTACTTCTGATGCCTTTAGACTGCAGGATGTTTTAGCTATGTCAGTATAATCTTTGGCAGTTACAAAGGGCTTTTATAGGTAAAAGTACATTAACAAATAAAGAATTGCACTGCATGATGTAAAACTGATAAAAAACTGGTAGAATTTTAAGGTAGACTAAATCTTACAGGCTAAAATCTATGGAGAACAATGGTCTTAAACTGCAGAATCAACTTGAATTGTTGGCTTTTATTCAGGTTGTTGATGTCACTATTAACATGATAGAGGACCTAATCCTTCCTCTTGTGAGCAGCCAGTTGGAGGCTATTGTCCTAACTGTGTGCATCCAAAGATTTGCATTTGTGACAAACATGGCATTTTTGAAAAAGACATTTTTGGATTAACTGCTTTCACTTCTTAACTGTTCTGTGCTCTCTAGACTAAGAGAAAATAGGACTAAGCTTCAAAAACAGAGAGGAAAAGATGGAAGAAAGAGAAGAACACAGCAAATATTGGACACTGCATAAAGTCATGCAGGGATAGCAGAACTTTACACAAGTGCCTTGTTGAAAGACAGAAACTTTTTAAAAATATGTAAGTCTTGTTTCTGTTACATTCTTGGCTGTATCCTTGGTTTCAATCTTATAAAATGTTTAAAGACCCCAGATTAACATCAGTCCTTGATCTCACCTCGTATTTTTTCTTCTGTTCTGTTTCCCAGGCAATAGTTTGCCCGGGAAAAAGCAGAAGTTTAATTTCTTACTATCTTTTGCAATCTAACTGAAATCATAGAGCCATTTGGGATTTTCAGAGGCAATGCCCTTGTGTTTTTGTAAATTATACAGCATTCAGGCACAGTCTAATTTTGAACTAGGCACTACATAAAGGTTAAGATTTCTGTGCTGCTACAAGAGATGTCAGTGAACAATCTATTTAAAAAAAAAAAAGGACGTAAATAACACCAGAGCAGCCCTCCACCAACACTTCTCAGTCACATTCCCTTTCAATCTGAGGGCCCGAGTTTGTGAATAGAGTTAACAGCTTTCCTGGAAAACTGGCCCATGACATTATTTCCTTGTGAACTCCATCCACCTGTCATGTTAGGGCTTGGTGCGACGCCAGCGCTGGCAGGAAATAATAGGCAGCAGGATGCTGGTGTGTGTCGATGGCCCTGACCCTCCCATTCCTGAACATGAATAAGCTTCGAGCTCACAAGGCGTCACAGCAGCGCAGCTTCTGGGCCCACAGAAACGCATGGGTGGGATGCACAGCCACTAAAATAACATCCAGCCAACTGAGCCGCAGCAACAGAACTGCATGGGAAGAGATGGTGTCACATTCTCACTGCCTGCTGCTCTTTGTTCTTTCGCCTGCACTCTCACTGTGCTGCGGGTAGTACAATGGCTGCTTAACAAAGAAAAAAAAAGTACAAAGTATGCCTGTATGTGAATTAGCTAAGATTCCCCAAAAGAACACAAAAGCTCCATTGAGCAACTTTCACCACTTCTCTAGGGAATTACACTGACAAGGGAAAATGAGCCATCAGCTTGAAATGGTTGGCAGCTAACTTTCTCCTGATACTGCACTGTTGTCAATGGAAAAGGTAGCTCATTTCAGTATTTGTGCAGGACAAAGTGCTGGGAGATCAAGTGGTGAGTTAGGGATGTCCAAATCATCCCTGAAGTGAGCATGTGCTCCTGTAATACTCCTAGGGTCAAATAACCTGAGACACGTATACTTCTAATGCTTGCAGCATAGAGGTGCACTGCTTCAAAGGAAGCATCTTCCCAGGACTGATGGCCAAGAGCCAGGATAATTGCTAGAAGGGTCTGGCATGGTTAGGCTGCAGCTGGAACAAAAGTTGGTAAACCAGTGCTCACCACTTTCTCACTCCCTTTGCAGACTGAT